ACCCAGAGCTCCTGTCACTCTGCCTACCATGGTGGCCTTTGAAAATGTCAAACTCTTGGACTGCAGTTCTCCCGAGGGACTCTGGGAATGGAAGCACGAAGTACAGGAAGGAAGGGGACACTGGCATAACTTAGGCCCCTTCCTCACACTGCTGGGAAGCTCCTCTTTCCCCTCATGGGGACGTGGGGCGGTGGCCCTATCTTACACGGGGAAACTGAGGCCTAGGAACTTGCAGAAGGGAAAGGCAGAACCTCGTGCATCATCCAGCTGTCCTCATTCCTTCAGGGCCCAGTGCCCATAGCAGTCAGGGCTAGGAGCGTCTGACCACTATCTCCAGATACTCTCTGATCCTTACCTGGCTTTGGGTAGTCTTGGGGTCCAAGCTGTTATTTGGCTCCCCCACCCCCAGGCCTGAAAGAACAACTCCTAAATAACTGTGTCCTGAGGCACCTGGGCTAGGACAGAGTCCTAGAATTGTCCTGACCAGCTAAGTAGTCCTCCAGGCCTGCCAGGGACACTGGGCGCTGGCTGCCTTCTTTCCTGAACACACACACACACACACACACACACACACACTCACTCACTCACTCACTCCCCAAGGCAGGCAGTGGACTTTATTATTTTCAAGGCAATGCCTCATGTATTCCAGATTGACCTCAAATTTATTATTATTGGAGGTGACCTTGAACTTCTGATTATAGGCCAGAACCACTAGTTGTATGCAGCGCTGAACCTGGGACTTAATGTATACTAGGGCAACACTCTACCAAGCTACAACCCCAGCCCAGCAGTGGAGTGTCATGTACAGAACCACTTGCTCCCAGGCAGGACACTGTAGCTCCGTTTGATCGGCATACCTAGGGAAGGATAAGGCCCATAATCACAGATGGAGAAACCCAGGCTCTGGGAAAATAAACTCCCTGAGGTCGTTCATCGGATAAGTGCATTTGCTAGGATTGGGGCTAGGTACCTGTGACCCAAAGTCCTTTGCAACTCTCAACCCAGGTTATCCCCGGTTACACAAACACAGAGGTGGCAGCAGGGGCCAGACCAGCACAGGGCACAGTGATAATCAACAAGGACTTTTTCAGGTAACTTTTCCCATTGAAAATCTGTTTCCTGCCGGCCACGGGTGATGTATGGTTGGAGCTGATGAGAAACGTGCGGTGGAATGGAGACCGGCGGTGCGGGCGGCCCACGCGGGGGCAGCGCAGCATTGAGATTCCACCGGGCTCGGAGGGCGGCGCAGGCCCTGACACGGGCCGGGTAATTGATCTGGAGGTGCCAATTTGCAGCAACTAAATATTTGGTTTCTGCTTCTGCCGCTCCGCGCTCTGCTCAAACAAACTTCAATTAAAAGCGAAAAGCAAGCGTGAGAAGGCAGCGCGCCAGGGTCCCCGCGACCAGATCGATGGCATCCAGCCTGTGGGCTGCTGAGCGCCTAACGGTGGGGCGGGAGGCACCGCCTATGAGGGTAGAGCCGGCGCCCTCTTTCGGATCGCTGAACACTGGGCCCACGGCCCTGGAGAGGCAGCGCCAGAGGGGGGACCGCACGCAGTTATTAGAAGCCAGGAATACCAAGCCATGGTCACATACATGACCAGCCCCCACACCTCCACCCCGATGTGAGCCTGCACACTGGAGCTGAGGCCTTTGGAAGAAGGGCTCCCTGGATGCTGACCCTGTTTTCCAGAGCCATCTCCGCAGATGAACTTTGAACATTGCCTCAACTGTGTTTTCTCTGAATTTATTTCCAGAGCCCCAGGTTCATCTTCGCTGCCAGGAAGAGGTTTTGGAGTTAGGGCAGTAGCTATAGCATGAAGAAGAGTCTGGATCATGGCCACTTGTCACTCATCTCTTGGGGTTCCAGACAAATGTCCTGTCTATAGAGACTATTGTTTTCCCCCCCCCCGGGGATCCTCCAGTCATTTTGGGGAGATGTCCCATGGTAGAAAAGGGGCACTCAGGTAGGAGAGGGAGCCAGAGGCTGTGTGGCAGGGGCAGGCTGAAGGGTGGCCAGTTCCAGAGGACTGCAGAGGGAGGGAATGGGCTTGGAGAAGGGGCATCCAAGTGGGCGCAGGTCTAGGCAGAAACAGTGAAGACTACTTGGTACCCATTCCTAGGAGCCAGAGGTGGGACCCATGGCAGAGCGGTTAAGTGAGGAGGGGCCCCCTCTCCCACACTCCTATGGTCCATCTTCTGGACTGGAATCCCATTGGCTAAGCCAGGCTATTCCAAGCCTTCCCTGCTCCTCCAAGGAGCCTAGGTATCACCCCTAAGCTCTGATACCCTTACCCTGGGGGAGCTACTTGGCTGGGGCTAGCTGTGGGAGTAAGGTTCATTTGGCCAGTGAGAACTTCAGTTTCTAGGCCCCCAGGCTAGTCTTGTAGGGTCCCCTGGGTGCCACCCATTCCAGTCTCTAGTTCTCTCTGGAGTAGAATGGTCTCATCCATGGGTTTCTATCGTCTCCATTTCCAGACAAACTCCTTGAAGCTCCTCATGGGCCTTTAGCCTCTGAGTTTCTCTACAGCTTGGGGCTCCAATCGCGCAACAACAAAACAAAACAACCTGGGTCCAAAGCTCTATGTGAGGCTGAGGAAGAGCCCAGGGCTGAAGTGTCCTCAAGAGCCTCCCCATCCAGCCCCTCCCATGCTGCCTGCCCAGGGCAGTGGAGAGAGGGGAGTTGGTGCAGGCTCCCTGCCTTCAGCCTCTTTCGAGCCTAGAAGCCAGAAGCCCGCTCCCTCACATCCCCCACCCCCACCCCAAGGGCTGAGCTGTGGAGCAGAATGATTTCCTGTAATTGGCCAGCAATCCGGCTGCCCGACTTGTTCTATCGACATGCTGGTTAGTTGGAAATTGTATTGGAATCTGAGCGATGGGGAACGGAGAGGAGGGGTTGGTAGGGAGCAAGGAGAGGCAGCTCTGGGTCCCAGCTGGGTGCTGCTTTAGCTCAGAGTGGAATGTAGGAACCATCAGCCAAGCTCTCAGTCCCCTGAGCAGAGCAGGAAAGCATCCCACTACATCTCACCACCTCCTTTACTTCTAGCCATCGTCAAGAGCCTCTAGTGGCCATCCATGTGGCCCCCTCACCTGTGACCATTTCTACCATCCACTCCTGGGGCTCAAGTGCCTTTGTGAGAACAAGGAATACTCCGGAAAAAGACACCATCACTCTCTCATCCGATTGTTGCCAGTAACTGTTGGATAAAGGTGTTACTGACAGGCACACTGCTGGGAATCCAAAAGAATGGTGGCCACAGCATGCGGTTACATCCACTCTGCATCCACATCACCCACACTGTAAGCAGCCTTGAAGACAATGGGGACTGTGCTTTGTAAAGTACAAAACTGAATTAACCTTGGGCAACCTGGACCAGGAGAGAGAAGGGCTTTAGGGGCCTGGCTGCATCCCTCAACCACTGCCAAGAGGAAGGTGAGCACGCAGTACCCAGGGCATCCTATTGCTCCTCTTAGGGTAAAGCCCATGCTGGAAACTGTGTCCCAAGGACTGGAGGATTGGGGTAGAAGTAAGATCTGTGGAGTTCAGACTGGTGTCTGACCCCGATTACTGATTTAGCTTCTCTGATGCTGGAATTACTGGCATGCACTACCACACTCAGATCCCATTCCATCTGCATCTTTTTTTTGGGGGGGGGGGAGTTGAGATAGGATTTCTCTGTGTAGCTTTGGAGCCTGTCTTGGAATTAGCTCTGTAGACCAGGCTGGACTCAGGAACTCACAGAGATCCACCTGCCTCTGCCTCCCAAGTGCTGGGACTAAAGGGGTGCACCACCAACACCTGGCTTTTCCTTTTTGAGACAGAGTTTCTGTGTAATGGTCCTGGCTGTCCTGGAACTGGCCTCAAACGCAGAGATATAGCCACATCTGCCTCCCGTGTGCTGAGATTAAAGGCTTGCACCACCACCGGGCCTATCTGGGTCTTAATGAGGGTCAGGCGGCTGAGGTGGTCTACCATCCTGAGGGATAGTTAAGGGTGCCACTGCCCAGATTCCTGCTTGAGTGAGTGCTGCCACCTGCTGGCCACAGGGGAGGACACCTGCTCTGGAGAAGCGCTGTGTTCCAGGTGGATGGGTCTAATTAGACAGGCACTGAAGTTGAAGCAGGAAAGCAAGCCTTTTCCGAAGCCAGCTTGGTCAGTAGGTCACAAGGGAGGGAGACTGGGGAGGAGGGCAGCTGTCAGGGCCAGTGCATAACTGTATTGGCTTCTGCACCCTCCAAACCAATGTTCTGTCACACTAGGCATCAAATTTAGAGTGCTGGGCCAAGAAAGAAGTAACTGAGTGTCCCGGTTTGCAAAGGGTTTTTAAGTGTCCTCAATGTATCATGCAGAAACTAAAGACAAAGAGACAGAACTGAGCCCCAAACCTGGGTGTGCTGCTCCTCCTTAGAGGGGATGCAGTAGAGAGTGCACTTCAGAACCTGTTTGACCCAGACCAAGCTGCCCTGTGGTACTTGCACTTACTGCACACTGTCAGAATGCCATAGGGGACAAGAATCATTTCCCCAGTCACTAGGTCAGGATGCTGCTCCAGTCCAGTCTCTCCCCTTTGCCAGTTCTGCCAGACCCTACCCAACTGAGGGAGCAGTTAGTTCCTGCTCCCTCCTCCACCTCCTTGCAGCCCCTTTTTGCTGCTTGGAGATGTGCAGGGAGTTAATGAGCTACTCTCTGAGGTTTAAGCAGCTCTGTGAAAGAGGACATTAAAAATGGCCACTGCTGCACTCACATTAGTCACACTCGTTTTTTGGCCTTAATAGGCTGCTAGGAACAAGATCCACACATCAGCAGGTCTGCAGACACCGGTAGGAAAGGTTGATGTCTGTACTGGTCTAATTGGGTTGGGGAAGAAAACAGACCTGTGGGTTGAGTGGATGTGACCTGCCCAGCACCTCCACAGACCTCCCAGAGGTGCAGACCTGTCTGGAGTCCTCTGTGTAGGCCTCCTCAGTGTGAGCGGAGGCCAAGTGAGATTCAGCGGACATTTTAGACCAATTCAGTTTATTGAGCACCAGTGGAGAGCAGGCTGCAGTACACTAGAGCAGAGATGAGTCAGCCCTGCCATCTAGAGGCATATAGTCAAGGAGAAATCAGTCTCTTGCTGATTATTCTACCATGGATTAAGATAAAACAAGGGTGCCTGACCAGAGACAGCCAGGGGTAAGATACTGCAGGGCAGGAAGCATCTGGTAGAAGACACAGAGGTCAGATAGCATGTGGCCTGGGGAACACCGAGAGAGCAGGGCTCAGAGGCAGTGGCGGCGGCTAAGTTGTGAGTAAAGCCCCATCAGAAGCTGGGTTTCTCCAAAGGGCCCTCCTCAGCCTAGTCACGCCAAACCCCAGAAAGGATTCACACTGCATCCTGGCAAAAGGCTTCAACCCAGGAGATAGTTCTGTTTGAAGAAGGCCTTCAATCTAGGATTTGCTGCGGTCCACTGGGGAGTTTGTGGCCATAATATGACAGATGATCCAAAAAGGTTCAAGCCCAAGAAACTGTTGGCTACATCGCTGTAACCATGGAGAAAGCCACAGAGACTGCTGTTTTCCTGCCATCATGGCTCTTGATCTGAGGGGTACTAGGGGATGGTGGGGCTCTGGGGAGGGTGGGAACGGGTCCCTGACTGTGGGCTTCTTTTTGATCTCTGAATCCTAGAGTGGATATACTCCAGAGCAAGGGCCAGTCCCAGAATCCGAGTGAGTGTAGTGTTGAGGACCTGGTACCTGACTTAGGTCTCTAAGGAGAAGACCTAAGGCTTGCTGCCTTGGTGTACCAGCTAGGGAGAAGGGAGAAGGTAACGGGTGAGCAGGTAAAGGAGGCTGGCAATGCCTGCTAGGCCCGTTAGGAACCCGAGCCTCAGTGGCAGGTACTCCATGGAGCGTTCCAACTTGGCATGCAAGAGGATGGCCTGGCGTCTGGTGAGGCTCCACTCGCCCGAGTTGTCTAGAACGTGGTTGGCCATACGGGCCTTGTCCTTCAGGGGCAGCTGGGCGTTGATCCTTGCCTCTGCGTCCTCCCGATTCAGGTTGTTCCGCTTCATCAGCCGTGCCAGCTGTGTCTCTCGGTCACTAAGGACAGGACAAAAGTGTTCTGTGGACCCCAGCCTCCCTCTCTGCAGCAAGACTCACAGGTGGGCAGCTAGCCTGGGACAGAGTAGGACAGCATCTTCCCTTAGAAAATTCCCTCTCCTGCCTTCAGCCACACAGGAGCCAAGCCCTATCAACCACCTCAGACTCCCAACAAGAGCTAGAGAGGGAGGGGTGGGGGTGTAGCAGCTGTTTTCCACCATCTAGGTCTTTCTGTTTGTCCACTGGCCTGAGATTTCCCTGCTATAAAATGGGACGATTTTTACCATTCAGGCCTTTGCTGCAACTTGAGAAACGGAACAAGGCCAGACATAAGGGCTCCTCTGTAAAGGTAACCTTATTATATAGTGGCTATAGTGGGCAGAGAAGACATCCAGCTTTAGTCATGGCATGTCTGTGGCTGGGGAATCTACAAGACAATGGAGCTGGCTGGCAGTTTCATGGGAGTGATGCAGAAGAGAGAGCCTCCCGGATGTACTGGTGGCAGAAACACCCAACAGCCTTCCTAGGGCTGTGACAGCGAATGCTGGACTCGGTTGATGGCTGTGTTCTTCTTTACTCATTTACAAATCAATTTTTCTCAAAAACATTAAGGGTCACATTTAGGTACAATCACTCCTCAGGAAATGCTCCATGCTGGCTCACAAGGTACAGCTCCTTTTGGTGACAAGCAAATAATCTAACCTTCCCCCTTTTGATCCCTACATATATAGGTTTTTGTTCTCAGGTTTTTGTTTTGAGATAGGGTTTCTCTGCGTGTAGCCCTGGCTGTCCTGGAACTCGCTCCTAGGGTCTATCTTCATCACCACAAAAAACAAGCAAGGGAGAGGCTGAGGGTTAACGTGGGGAAGCACAGCCCTGTGAGGAACTGAGAAGCTCAGGGGATTCACACCATGAGAGATCTGGACAAGGGTAGGGCAATGCTCAGGGCACTGAGCGTTCCAGTGTACTAGCAACCTCCCACACGTCGATCCCTTGAGAACCACCCTGTGCCCAAAATACCTGCAGAGTCAAGGCCCACCTATGTGTCTGCTATACTTGTGACATGTGGAAGTTTCTGAGAAGCAGAGACACCCTGCAGCCTCGTCTAGTCTCTCACCCGAAGGGACTGTGACTCATTTCTCTGTCAGATTAATTCTCCTGTTTGCCAAACCTGGACTGATTTGCTTCCTGTCCTGGGGGATTCTGAGAAGAAAGTTCCTCCCTTAGATTCTTCTGATGACTGCATCCACAGGTGCTCCCAATGGGTGAGCCTGGACAGGTTCTGCTCTCTATTCATCAGTGCTTCCAATGGATGATCTTGGATACACTCTGCTCTCTACTCACAGGTGCCCCCAATGGGTGATCTCAAACACATTCTGCTCTCTATTCATGAGTGCTCCTAGGAGGTGATCTCTAATAAATTCTGCTCTCTATTCATGAGTGCTTCCAGTGGGTGATCTCCAATACATTCTTCTCTACCCACAGGTGCTCCCAGTGGGTGATCTCAAACACATTCCATTCTCTATTCATGAGTGCTCCCAATGGGTGATCATGAACACATTGTGTAACTGCCTTCTATAACTCAGAAGTATCCCTCTACCATGAGTACTTCATACTGAAAAGTGAGAGAATGAGGTTATAAACATGGGAGTGTTTGGGAAGTTGTGGAGTGCTCTAGGATGAGGGTGGCCAGAGGTAAAACCAGACAGCTCAACTGAAGTGTCTCCTACAGCCAGCAGGGGGAGCCCTTCCCAAACACTAGCGAAGCCTGGGGACCACCCCCCCCCCCCAACTCATATCTGCCTAGGTGCATCAGGATCAGGTACAAAAGTTGGTTTGTGTAAGCCTGGGTACCACTACCCCAACTCACTTTGTGCCTTGGCTGCCCATGAGAACTGCATAAAGGGATGTTTCCCAGGTGCATCTTACCCTAGGTGTCCTTTCCAGTCCCCATTGGCCAAGCTGTGTGTCACACTTACCAGTACACGACCACAGTGTGTTTCATGTACTTGAGCAGCTTCTTGGTCTCAAACAGGAGGGGGATATCCAGGATCACGTAGCGGTACCCTGGGAAAAAGATGGAAAACGCCCAAGTTCAATTCTGCAAGGACATCAGGAAAGATGCTTGTGACCAGCCCAACATAGAGAATGCCCCAGCAGATGGGAGACCTTCCAAGGACAGACATACCCTGAGTGCCAGCCAGTTACAGTGCCATTCAGAGCAGAATGCCGCAGAAAATAACTTCTGGCTGGCTGACTAGGGAAGACCTTGGAGAAGGACTGGCATTTGCGCTGGCTTTGGAAAGCAGGCAAGATGTGGATACTTGGAATGAGAAAGTGGAGGCAAGGAGTTCTGATGAGGACCAGCAGAACCCAGGAGCTGGGAGGTTCTGTGCGAATCAGGTAGGGTTCTGGAACACAGTGTATCAAAGACTAGGAGGTCTAGTTGAACCTTGACCCTCAACCCCAAAAATTATTTCTAACCCAACATAAGCCATAGCCAGTGCTTTAGGCAACTGGGAAGTTTGTGGGAGATGCTGAGGCCCTTCTGCCCTATTTCATCTTACACTGGCTCAAAACACCCAAAGCACAGGACCTTTCCTGGAAGGCAGGCCCAGACATGGCTGCCTTTTAAAGAGACCCATAGCTACCTCTGCGGCTTTCTGTGAGAGACCTGTACTATCCCAGAGCAGCGAGGGTGGTTCAGTTAACTACTGGGTTCCCTCAATGGAAAAAGGGCTCTGGGAGGCTCTCCCGATGTCGAGACTGCAGAGAGGTAGTGTGTTCCCACACCATGAACGGGCACATCCCTGAGTTATGTGCGCTTCTGCCACACTTGTGCCCCGTGTGGATGAACAAAGAAGGGGTAAAAGGCAGCAGAATAAGGACAGGGACAGATGCTGCTCAGAAACCTGGGGCCTGCACGGTACCCCATCCCAGACATTATCAACCACAGAACTACACACTAGCTGCCGGGACTGCTGCTCTCCACAACCTGGGGCCCAGGAAGCCTAAGAGTAGCCTTGTTTGATGAGGGCATGGGGTCCCTGAGCTCTAACACACTTAGTTTGTAGCGCCCCATGTGACTGCAGGTCCTTAACAAAACTAATCTGTGTAACGAATGGAAAGAACCCCTTTCCCGAGCTCTGAATGCATATGACACTGAGCAGCAGCCAAGCCCCTCGGCTATGTGATGGGTGTTATTGCCATTGTTCCTGGGAGGAGGGAAGTTGGCATTGCGTCTCTCCACCTCTCATTTACCTCTCACTTCACCCTCTCCAGCTCAAAGCCAGAGGGGGGGGGGGGAAAGGAAGAAAAAAAAAAAAAAAGGATCCTCCCTGGGCCTCTTATCTCCCTTTCCTGTTCTTCTCCCTCCCCTCCTGCTGTCCTTTCTCCTGGGTCCCTCTTGGGAGCTGGAAGCCAGCTCTATGGTTTACCGGTAAAGGGCTATTCAGCTGTCACATCTCTCCTACTTGATAAGCCCTGAAACTGTCCTGACTCTATGAAGACATCCGCCTGCCTATGCAGGACCTCCCCAACAGCTGGTGATCTTATCTGACGTGTGATTATACCAACTTTGACAGCTGTATTTGTTACACTCATCAGGGACAAACCGGGACTGTGGAAGCCACAGCTGTCGTCCCCATTTTTCACCTTATCGAACTGAAAAGAGATTTCTGGCTTTTATTTAAGTGGTGGTGGTTGGGGAGGTGGGAAGGCTGGGTGGATGACACAACAGGAGAGCTTTGGAGCTGGTGACATTATCCAATGCTTAATTTCAGAAGGAGGAAGCCACTGGTGCCTCGCAGCCCTGCAAATGTACCGAGAGCTGGCCTGGGAGCAAACGTAAAGGGCAGGAATGAAAGGCAGAAGGCTTCGCCAGGCAGGGTGGGCAGAGGGGAGCGGTGGCATAGTGGACTGGCAGACACTGGGGGAGGACAAAGGCAGAGTCCAGACTCCTCTCGAAGGAAGAAGGCTGACTTTGGCAGAGTGTCTCAGGGACAAATAGCAGGAGGGTTTAGAGCAGCAGGAGCTGGGAGCCAGCTCCAGCCTTTCTTGGCACTTTAGGGACTAAGGGGTAGGCTTGGGTCAACAACATAGATGCTTCTCATAACCCTTTAAAGGGAAGAGGCACACTTGAGAACGTGTTAGGGAGAGGGATCTTACTCTGTACACCTGAGGCATGAAGGGGAAGGGGCCTGGCCACGGTTACAGTGGGAAAACTTGGTAAGACAACCAAAACGGATCCCCATACTCGCCAGGAAATGGTCCCCACACAATGACTGCTGGGGGAGCTAGGGCACTAGGCCTTTACTTAGAGGCACAGACCGGAGGCCACATACACCAAAGGCTGGTAGGAAGTCTTTGTGCCAATAGATAGTGTGAACTCGGCAGCTTAGATAACTAACCACTACCCTACCCCAGAGGCTATCCGTCCCCTTCAGGCCCCAAGTCTAGAGTCTCACCTCGGAGAAAATACTTGAAGGTCTCCTTCATCATCTCCTTGCGGATCTCAGGGTGGGTGATGGAGTTGAGTAGCTGCCGACGGTCAGGCTGGTTAAAGATCAGGTCTCCAAGGACCTTGCGGTCGATGTCACCATTCTCCAGCAAGACTTCAGTGCCAAAGGCCTCTACAATACGCCGGTGAGCAGGGTATCCTGGCTGGACGACTGTGGTATGAAGAGGTTGGGTCATTCCAGAGACTCCAGCCATCCAGAAGACCCCAAATGGCCAGAGGCAAACTGATGGGGGACCCAAGGCTGTTTCCTTCAACTGGAGACTAAATAAACTTAGGGACCCTCAGCCAGGGATGGAGCCGAGTTTAGGGAGACTGGACTCTTAGGGGGAAGAAAGAATAAACAGAGAGCCTTAAGGGCGAGCAGGAGCAGAGACAGGCAAATCGGCTAGAACAGCCTCACTCTCGGAGGGTCCCAAGAAGACAAAAAGAGAAGCTTCTGTGCACAACGGGTCCCCTTCCAACTCACCGTGCCGGGCGATGACATCCACGTCAATCACAGCACAGCCCAGCTGTTGGAACACCTGGATGACGGAGCTCTTGCCGGAGGCAATGCCTCCCGTTAGGCCCACCAGGAACATCTTCCCAGGAGAGAGAGAAGACAGGCAGAGTAGGAGCCGAGAAGCACTGGATAGTCAGCACACTTGCCAATGGGCTGCACCACCAGGCTGGAAAAACCTGTTGTCAAGAGACATTCAGGCCTGGTCAGCACTGGGCCACAGGGCAGAGGGATGGGAGACAGTAGGTTGGGCAGAGCTTGGGGAGCTCTGTAGCTGCTTCTGAGGAGAAATTTCCAGTACTGTGTGTGTCAGTGTGGGCTGGACAGTAGAGCCTGGGACATGCTAGTCAAGCACTGCTCCGATAAGCTGTTCCCCAGGGGCTCACTAGTGTGTCCTTATAGCCTTGAACTTGGCATCCTTCTGCTTTAAGTTTCTAAGTACCGGGGATTAAATGACGGCCCATGCCACTATTCTCAGTTTCCTTCTTTTTTTTTTTTTTTTACACTTTATTTTTTAGTGTGAGTATATGTCTTTCTTAGTAGAGCTTGAAATCCATCAGGACCACTTTTGTTAGCCTGCAGATTTACTGTCCTAATTACACTTTGCCTGTGCTCACATGGAAATGAGTTTGCCTCTCCTGAAGACACAAACAACAGTGGGGGGGGGGGGGGAGAGTCACTTGGGTGTGACACAGGATAGCAAGAAAACAACCTACAGGTTTACATTTGCCTAGCTCATTCTCACATGGGTCAGGGGCACAGGGAGGCAAGTATCTGCCACAGACTCGGAGTCCAAACAGAGACCTAAACTAAAGAATGCCACATTTTAAAAGTTAACCGAGGATACTGTCACACCCCCCCCCCAGGCTGTTTCCCTCTCAACAAAAGGGAATTAAGGACAAGGTTCAACTGTATAAGGTAAACTTAGACTGTTCAGCTCAAGCTTTGTGATAGAGAATGTGGCATCGGTGTCTTGGTCCCCATCTCTGCTGCTGTCCCTCAAGCACAGCTTCTCAACTAGATGTGACGGTACGATCCTATAATCCCAGCGCTTAGGACATTGAGGACAAGAAGACTGAGCTATGTGCTGAGTTCCAAGACACCCTGAACTAGAGTGAGGCTTTATTTCTAAAAGAAGAAACCCAAACCAAGAGAAGGGCTGCGGGACCGTGAGATGGCTCCGCAGGTGAAGGTGTCTGCCACCAAGCCTGACCCGAGTCCAATCCCTGGGGCCCACACAGTGGAAGGAAAGAACTGAGGTCAGAGTCTCTCAGTTGTCCTCTGACCTCCACACATGCACATACAGACACCTTTTCTTAAAAAGGAATTTAAGACAATAACTACAACAAAACTCACAAAATGGTCCCAATATATGTTTCTGACAGCTCTCGCCCATGGTAACTTCTCCACACATGCCATGGTGCATTTCAATGCCCGCAAACCCTGCTGGAAACACCTGTGTGACACTGCTGTGTTATGAACTCAGGGTTTTCCCTGTATGCTCAGAGTCATCTGCTCATACAGAAACACAGCGCTTTAATTACAAAAAACAAAGAGTATTTTCCTACTGGCTTTCCTTGGCATTTAAATATCATATTAGTGAACCTTTGGAGAATATTACCAAAATGTTTGATTTTAAAAAATTGCTGTCTGAGTTGTTGACTTGAGCTTCATTTAAAAAAAAAAAAACTGGAATGAATTTGGGCAGAATTAAGGTAGAATTTGCAATAACTTCTGAAATAACCCTATACATACCCACACCATTTTATACTATGCACTCATGGGAAACGGTGTTCCTAGCATTGATGATTAAAGTATCAATCAACTCTGAAAAACATTGACAATGACCTACATCCTATAATATCAAATATTCAACCTTGATTTAATTTAATTCTTGCTTGGTGTGGTGCACTCCTATAGCCCAGCATTCAGGAGAAAGAGGTAAGAGGACTGTTCCAAGTTTGAAGCCAGTCTGGTGTACATAGTAAGGCCCTGTCTCAAAAGGGCAAGAAAGGGCTGGAGAGACAGCTCCAGGGAAAGGGACAGTTCTGCTCTTACAGAGGACCCAGATTCGATTTGGCTGCTTGCTTGAAGAGAATGGATAAGAACCAGCTGTTCTTGTAAAGCAAGCCCTTGATGACTCATTCCCTCACCAGCTGTTAACTAAGCTCGTCTGTGTTTCATAGCCATGTTCTAGGGACCTCTCAGACAACCCATGGAAACCAGTTTGCCCTGTGGGGAAACAGGAGACACACCAGACCAAATGAAAACAGCTGGAAGCAACAGAGTCCCAGTGGGGAGCAGGAACCGTTAGGTGATGCAGGCTCTGGCCTGGACCAAAAGCCCCTTTGCATTGTAGGTTATCCAAAGATAATGGTGTGCCAGGAAAGGAAGCTGAAGCTAGAGCCCACTGTCCTTTCAAAGCCTAGAAAGGCAAAAAGCAAGACATACCAAATTCCTCCTCCAAGTATCACTCAAACCTGACAATAGTTCTCCTAAGCACAGATGAATAACCACCTTTAACAACCCATGTTGCCAACTAAGCCATTATTTCCCAGGATCTACCTCGCTTCCCCTGTTGAACTACTGCTAAGGCAGAACCTCACAGTTACCCGTAAGCCTGACTAAATCCAAGTCCTGTATAAATCTTTCCAAAAAAGATGTAGAACCCAGACTAGGCACCAGCCCTAAATAGAAACCAGCCAGGCAGCTGGGCATGGTGGCACACACCTTAAAACCCAGCACTGAGGAGGCTGAGGCAGGTGATCTCTGTGAGTTTGAGGCCAGCCTGGTCTATAGAGTGAGTTCCAGGACAGCCAGGGAAACAGAGAAACCCTGTCTCAAAAAACAAAAACGAAGGGAGGGAGGAAGGTTATGGGTTACACACAGAGAGGCTGTGTATGAACCTATGAAGCCACCTGTGTACCTTCAAGGAGCTACGAAGCCTGGGCCAGAATGGCAAGTGCTCTACAAATGACCCACAATGGAGCCCCAAAGGCCTAGTCTTTTCTGGGCTTCAGTCTCCACAACTAGACACAAAGGACCTAGCACAGTGTCAGATCCCAAGAGAGGCTACATCATAGACAAATTCTTCCTCTCCTGAAAGTAGTCAGAAATGCTCAATTGTTACATCAAGAAATGACACGACCAATGGAGGCCATGGTGACACACACCTTTAATCCCAGCACTCAGGAGGCAAAGGCAGGCAGATTTTTTGTGAGGCTGAGGCCAGCCTAATCTACAGAGTGGATTCAGCACAGCCAGGACTGTTACACAGAGAAACCCTGTCATGAAAAACAAAAACAAACAAAAAATTACATGCACTACCAGGTTTGGTGGCTCACATTTTAATCCCAGCACTTAGAGGAGGCAGAGACAGGCAGATCTCTATGAATTCCAGGACAACTAGAGTTACTTAGTGAGACCCTGTCTCAAGTAAACAAAACAAAAGTTACATGTATGTCTGTGTATGTGTAGAGGTCAGAGGACAACTTAAACACTGGCCCTCTCCTACCATGTGGGTCTTGAGAATGAACGGAGGTTGTCACGCTTGGCAGCAAGCACATTACCTGATGGGCGGGCCACCCTGCTGGCCCAAGGCCTGGCTCTCTCTCTCTCTGCAGGACTATAGGCTGTTCTTAGCTGGCTTGGCTGGAGGAGAGTTAAGATCCAGAGAAGGGAAATGGGAAGCCAATGCCAGGAATTCAGCACCAAGGCAAGCCAGGAGAAAAGCAGGACCCTGATCCCAGGGGAGCCATGTCCAGCGCTTCATCCCCTTCACTCCTCATGTATGGGGAGAAGCACAGATACAAAGGGAAAGGCAGGCAAAGACTTTGAGAAAGCAGTGAGCCCAAAGACCCAAGAGGAGGCTCCATTGTACTGTGCTCTGTGAACAGTGGGCTCCCTCATCGAGCTACTCCAATGTGCCCTTCCATCATTTCCTCTTGGGCCCCAGCAGCCAGAGAAGACAAGGGAAGGGCATCTGGGGAGAATTCTCTTGGAACTTCCTCTGGTTTCTCTTTGGAAAGGAGTGGGCTGCCTCACATACCTCTGACAAAAGCCTCACTGCTGACCTAACTCCTCAGGCTGACGGCAGCCTTGACACCTGAACTTCTTGGAGGCTAAGATCAGGACTAAAGGATCATCTGAGCCTGTCACTCTTCTGCACAAACCTTCCCCACCTCCCCCCATTCCCTTATGGCGCTGCAGAAAGGTCTCTGTAACCTCAGGCACTCCCTAGCATGGTGCGTCTTTTCCATCTCAAGGCTTCTATGCATGCAGTCCCTGATAACTCTTGCTGTCTCTCTGTCCATACCCACTACTAAACGACCCTACCAAACAGACAAGTAGCTCACAGTCTGCAGTGGGGATGGAGCACACAGTAAGTGCTGGGGAGACATGTGAGGCACTCTTGTGGCCCTCAGCCTGCTTGCACCAGGCCAGGACCTGGCTGCTCATTAGCGAGCAGCTCACTTCTCAGGGTGTCACGCTGGGCATGTCTGGCCAGTTGGCCACTTCTCTCCAACTGCTTTCCAAAAGGGATGCATCCATTTCCCTCCAATGATCAATATAATCATTCATGAAAATGAGTCATTCCTGTCTTGGGACCCAATTATTTTCTTGTAGAACCAATTACTGAAAAAAATACAGTTTGCCAGTAACTATTAAGTGCTATTTTTATACACTTTCCACACCCCTGACCGGTCATTATTGGCAAGGGTTTGTGTGTAAGCTGGGAGTCCCAGTTCTTCGCTCTGCAACGTCTCTTTAAGACACCACTTCCTCTGAGCTGCCCATTACCTGGTGGGAGCGCCAAGAGGGGGCAAGCCTTTCCTTCTGCCCATGGTCAACACCAAGTGCAGGGTGGAGGTGGTCTCTTCTCAGCACAAGGTAGCACCCAAGGAGCATCTGTGAAAGGCAGGGTGTGCACAGACAGAACTGCTGTGCAAACATTAATGCAGAAAACGGGTCATGAGGAAGACCCACCCCAAAAGACATTGTAACTGGAGGGTCCTTGGGGACTCAGCTCAGTCCCTTGCTATTTGGCTTTGGGCAATTGCCTTCAACATTCAGAACTTCCCTTTGAGTAAAGAATAGGATTTATTATGACTTCTCACAGGAGTCCTGTAAGAATT